GATGTTGCAGTATAAATCTAGATACGAAGGAGATTTGGTGGCCAAGTGTTATTTTGCAAAGCATAAGCTTATTTGGGACCTTCTTGATGGTTGTCTTAAAGAATAAGATTGAGATTCCTTATACCACCTCCAACGGTGGTTTTTCAGATTGGTTTGCCAGCTTGGCATTGAAATTGTCAACAAAAAAGTTGTTTCAGCTGGTGAACGGTACAAATATAAACAACGGTTCTTCATATTTTTTTTAATTAAAATAATCAATTAGCCGTTGTGCAATGACTTTATTTTTTTTATTTTTTTTAACTTTTTTTATTTATTATAAATATAGGTTTGTTGGAAAATTGTATACCAATCCTATTTTCTCTCACTTTTATTTACTCTTTAATTTCAAATTTCTCTCTCACAATTTCATCATTTTATTCATAAATTTGAGTAATTATGTTATGTAATTTATTTTTATTGTTTTTAATTATATGTCATGTATTTGAGATTAATTTTAATTATCATTTTAAATTTTATGTTTAATTTTAATTTTATTTATTTTATATTAATTTAAATTTAAATAATTTAAATAATTATTTTAAATCAAATAAAATTTAGTATGAATAAAATATTAATATACAAAATAAAATTGTGGGACCCAATATAAGTTCTTTAAAATTGCACCATTGGAGTGAAAAATGGAGTGAGTTGCTTCAAGATGATTTGACTTAATGAGTCCCACAAAGAACTCAAATATGAGTAGCACCATTGGAGATGCTCTTAGTCTGATATCATGGCTCTTAAGGCTAACTATCCTGAAGATGCACCAGTGACACCAAAAGTTGTTGTTAGTATTTTTTTTTTAGTTTTACAAAACAAATTTTTGGTGTTTCTGCCTAGTAAATTTTGGATCACAATTATTGTATCATACTAAGTTGGATAAAGAAGCAATCCAAGGATTGACAGGACGACTACTCTTCCACAGAAACAGGTGTATCTCTGCTGCCACCGTAAATCTATAAAAGCATATGAGAAGGGAAGGAGGAACAATGTGAAGAGGAATTAGTTCCGGGATTTGAGAACTTAAAACATCATTTGACTTGGTTTATTTGATGCAACACAAAATTCATAACCAAATTAGTTGAGTTGAGATTGATGCAACTACTATTTTAACTTTTAACCTTAAGAAATTAGAATATTGTATTAAAAATATGTTATATGAAGGCATACATAGTACTATATTTGGAACAAATATTATTATATGAAGGTTGCTCGAGAACCTGCAGAGGAAAGTTAAAAAGTTATTGTTAGTTGTGTATAAACCGAATAAACCAATAATGATACAATTCATGATTTTTATTTAGTTAAAGTTTTTCTTTAAAAGTTAACTAAGCTCGGTAAAAATAAATTTTTATATTTAGATGAATGAATTAGGAAATTTCTTTTTCTATCTAGTGGTCTTCTTCTAGGCCCCTAGTAAAAAATTTAAAATACCTCTATATTTTGCAAGTGCATTTGTGAATTCATCTCGCATGTGACTTTGCAAGTGCACTTGCGAATAATCCATAAATACTCATTTCGTAAGTGCAATTACGAAGTCTGTGTATTGTTTTAACACATACAAAACATACTCTCAGACTCATTTTTATTCAAACACAAAAATTTTCATTTTCTTTTCCAAATCCTAACATTTCTACTACTCAAACTCAATTATTTTTGTTCATCTCTCCATTTCAAGTCATCCCAAATCATCTCCAAGCTTTCAAATTTGTGTAAGTTTTCTACAATTTTTTTTATTCACATGGAAACTTGTAATAAATTAATAGGTTAGTTTGTAGAAATTACATTGTGTATGTTGGTGTTAGAATAGGTAAATGTAGTTATTTGGGTGACAAAAAACTGAGTTTTGGGTGTTTAGGATTTGAAAGTTGTTGCGCGCAGGGGGTTTCGCAAGTGCACTTGCGAATTCACCCTGGACCAATTTCGCAAGTGCACTTGCGAATTATTGCCTGAGATGTTTAATATTTAAAATCTAATAATTATTAATTATTTATTTCAGGAACATGGCTGACAACCCAAACCAGAGCAGGCGTTTGAGACAAGGCAGACCAAGTCAGACTCCCTCGGCTCGTCGAGAGAGACAAGAAACAACAGATTAACAGGCCTCGAGGACGGGGTCGAGTACAAAGGGAGCAACTGGATATAGCTTCTCCTTCTGCACCGAGGAGTCATCTGTATCAGGCGTCTACCTCTCGTGCACGTGAGCAGGTGCAGTCTACCTCTCGTGTGCATGAGAAGGTACCTGATGAGACGGAGGTACCCGAGGAGGTTGAGGTACTTAAGGATGTTGAGGTACCTGAGGAGGCGGAGCGGGGCTATCCAAGAGGGCCGTATGAAACCTCCCTCTTGATTTACTATCATGATCATAGCGTTCGCTATGTCAGGGATGGGCATGTATTTTTTTGGTTTCACTTTTTCATTTTATAATTTTTACTCAAAAATACGATTGTGAAATTTATTACTTTTTTGTTTTGTTTCAGGAACGGTTGCCTATAAAGCATGTGATCCACTCTCGGAAGATTTCTGAGTTGTTCATACCAAAGGCTCAGTGGTTCCATAATATTGTGATTGGATTCGGTCTTTCTGGATTATGCTGTACAGGTTACGGCATAATAAGCCACAATATGCTGAGGACTTTTGCTGAGAGGTGGCATAAAAAGACCTCATCTTTCCACTTTCTCATTAAGGAGTTGACCATCACACTCGATGATGTAACTTGCTTGCTCCACCTACCTATCAGAGGTAGATTACTTAACCATCACAAGATATTATAGGCTGAGGGGGTTGAGTGGATGGTTGAGTATTTGGGAGCTGATCGGTTTAGGGAAGCTGAGGACCACAAAGCCACAAATGAGGCACATGTAAAGTTGTTATACCTTAAGGAGCTATATGAGGAGCACCTCGTTGCAGCAGCATCTGCAACAAGAGCTGCACGTATAACCGATGAGCTTGTGCAGAACAGTGTTTTTGTTCAGTTTCATCGAGCTTGCGTTGTGCAGTGTTACTAGATGTTCTTGGTCGGCACGTCCGTCTTTGTGGACACAAGTGGGCACTACACCGGTGTGACCTACCTACGGTATTTTATAGACCTGACTACAGTTTATGAGTGAAATTGGGAGGGTGCTATTTTGGTATACCTATACCAGAAGTTGAATGAAGCTTCAAGTTGGAGGTCGAGGGGGCTCATTGGCTCATGCACACTCCTCACGGTACATTTTTTCAACTATTAACTTTAATTAGTTTTAATTAATTTGTACTTACATATTATGTTATTATTGTTGTAGAGTTGGATAATATCTCATTTTCACCGCATTCATGGTTTCAAGGAAGATGAGGCATATACTGATAACATGCCAAGGGCTTCCAAGTATCTTCTCAACAGAGGAAACCAACATGTGTTGTTATATCAGGTGTATCTTGATCGGACTGCTCATGATGACATCAAATGGATGCTTTTGATGATTACAGGGATGTTGTCCATTCGACTCGATCTCATTATACTCTGGGTGGCTAGCTTGTGGCTCGAATATTATGGTCAGGTATCTTCCGGAGCGGTGTATCTGCCAGTTTGGCTATGTGCAGATGATACCTAGATCTCCTTTTCAGGCTGCTTCCGACACCATGGTACGACGGGATCTCGATGACGTCTTCTAGGATTTGGAGAATCATATTGTGTCACAGGAGTATCGGATGATGCCAGCATCCCAGAGTTAGCACAGTATAGAGGGTTACATGACATGGTTCTTTAACGTGTCACACCCTCTCATGACACCGGATGGTCCTGGACGTCCACCTAAACCAGCTTATGAGGAACTCCTGGAGGACGTACACTTGTGAAACTTCCTCTGAATATGTAAAAAAATGGTTTCTTCGCAAGTGCACTTGCGAAATCACTTCACAGGTGACTACACAAGTGCATTTACGAAGGATATTTTCGAATTTTCAATAATGAAAACCACTACTATTAAATATACAGAGAAATTCCCATGAACTAAAACACCTTTCATTATTTCATTATTAAAAAGAAAAAATCATATAACATTTTTTAAATCAAAGCAAGAAAAGTGTATACACAAAATGGTCATTGATGTAATCCCATTAACTACCTCTTCTTCTATTATTTAAATTTATATTTGTAATCCCATTAACTTCTAATTTTATTATTTTTTATAAAAAAGATTCTTAAAACTAACTATATTCCACTAATTGATTATTTTATTATCTTTAAAAATAATTCTTAAATCTTAAATTCTAAAATTTTCCACTAACTTATTATTTTATGTTTTTAATTTCTTCTCAAATTTGTACTTTTGTTTTTGTTTTTTTATGTTATAATCATTGTATGAGTGAAAGATTGTACGAACACCATTTTAAATTTTTTATAATAAATTTATTGAAAGGATCTCCAAAATTTAACAAAAACAAATTCTTTTACTTTGTAAAATATAAATTAATTTCTTATAGGACAATATAAGAAGAAGAAAAAAAATAAACTCAATTGAATCGATATTAATAATAATAATTATGTTGATAAATTTTTAAAATAATAATTTCTCCAAAAAATCTTCAAATTTAACAACTAAGTATTTAAATTAAAATTTTAAATTATTTTAATAATAGTACATGTTTAAATTAAAAAATACTCTATAAAATTTATATATTATGACAAAATTTTGCTCCATTAACATCAAAATCATCTCCCAATCAATCAATTCTTAGATATGGATATTATTATTATTTATAATTTTATAGTGAGGTTATTAATTTTACGTGCATGTCACGGGTGGAAGCGGCTGCTACATTAGTAGTTTATTAACGAGTGTGACCGTTAATCACGAAGAAGAAGAAAAAAGTTTGTTATCGGTTAACACAAAATTGACTCTTACAAATGAACAACTAACGCGACTCTTAAAACCACCTAAAACCCAACACCTCCTTCCATTTCCTTTCTCTTTCTCCCAATGGAGGCATCACCGCCTTCAAATGTATTATGGTGGGACAAATGGGTAGAAGAAGCACTATCAACGCTTGATTCTCTCAAAGTACTTCGATCTCTTAGACCCATTTGTCTACCCACCCACAAGATTCGGGTGGAGGATGGTCATGCGTTTGAAGTGTTTGATGAAATGCACCAATGGGATCGTTCCTCTGTTGAAGTTCAAATTGGTGAAATTACTTTTAGGAAATGGATGCATGATACCCCTAGCTCTGGTAATTTACTACCCTTTCTAGCTTTTTTGTGTTTGCAGTGTTACCCTTTTTAAGGTTTAAGCTCTTATGTTTCTCTCAGTTTTAGTTAATCTTTGATATATATATATATATTTTTAATATAAAGGAAATCACACATTTCTCACTCTTCATGTATATTTGCTTAAAAGCATGGTTTTAAATTGCGGTAGAGGGTGTTGCGATTGTGGTCATTCTGGCTTGCTGCAATGCATTATGCCGCCGTTGCAGCGTGAATTTTAATTCGGTGGTTCTTGAAATACAATGTTGAGAAACACTTCGAGTTAAGATTTTTCATTATATCAGAAGAAAATTGAGTTTTTGGGTTATGAAATTTTGAGTTTTGATGAAAATACTTGAACAAACATACGCAAAATTGTCTGATACGCTTCAAAATGCGATCACACCACACGTGTCATTTTAAATCACACTACAATTATGGTCCGGTGTAGTTGCGGAGACTACCACATCAGCAATATTGCGGTTGCAGAGTGCAATTTAGACCATGCTTAAAGGTTAATTCTATGGTGCACAAGTAAAGTAGTTTGCACCATGCACAAGTTTCTTTTTCACCATTAGATTAATGAGTTCAGTCGTAGTTTTCACGATCTACTGATGGGACTTAATGATCCAATGGTGAAAATAAACTTGTGCATTGATACACCACCTACTTCAATTGTGTGCTATAGAAAGAGAGCCCTGCTTAAAAATGATAATTCAACTAGCCCGCAACATTTTAAAGACATGTTATGTGATTATGTGTAAGAAACTAAGAATTGAAAACAATAAGTGGAAATATTTCCTGACATTTGTATTAATGAGGCTTAATTGTACTGCTTCTAGAGTATATTGAGGTGCATGGCATTGACACCCCCAGTTCTCAGTTCTAATGAATATGCAAGAGTACTTGTGAGTTTGCTTGTTAAGGTCTTATCTTTTTTCTCATTTATTAGTTATTCTTATTGCCTATTTACATGAAAAGAATGATTTTTTGTCTGTTTCTTGTTCAGTAATGGTTATAAATATGCCATTTTTTGTTGGCTTATTTTTTGTAAAAAGAATTTCGGTGAAAAAACTAGAAATTTGTAATTATCAGCTATAAGTACTAGGTATCGTAGGAGACTGAAATGAGAATTAACTCAAAGCAATAAAAGCCAGAATGTAATGCTGGATGAGTGGAAATACAAGATGAGATAGGATCATGAATGATAGCATTGGGGATAGAGAGTAGGGGTAGCACTGATTGTAGAAATGTGGTTGAATCTCGTCTTTGATGGTTTGGGTGTGTGTGGCAGAGACTTGTAAATTTTACAGTAATAAGAGCATATCACATGGATGACAACCCGATCACTAGGACCAAAAGAAGGTCAAGAAAAACTATAATAAGAGCTATACTATAGACATAATTAATGGTAGAACATTATGACACCATTTGATTCACACAGCTCACTCCACATAGTGGAATAAGACATGGTTTAACCTTTAAATTCCATTCTATTGTCATTTGCATCAATGTGGTTTACTTTGTTTTGTTATGATATAGATGTTAAACCTCTACTGTGTTTAGTTATGACTTCAGACGTTAAACTTGAACTGTTTTTTCTTGTGGCGAGGTTAGGTGAAGAGATTGTTTATGGCACAGTTGCTGGTGATAACGAACCAGGGGTATGCCAAGAGAAGTTCAAAAAATTAATTTTGTTTTCGGGAAATGATTATTTAGGCCTGAGTTCCCATCCGACTATTGGAAAGGCTGCTTCAAAGGTTTGCTTTATGAATTTTGAATGACTTCCTTTTATCTTCTGCTGTATTTTTTTTCTATATCTTTGTTTCTTCAGTTTTCTTAGCTGAGAATATTGCTGTTATTTTCATTGTTCCACTTCAGGCAGCTTTAGAACATGGAATGGGACCAAGGGGTTCCGCTCTTATTTGTGGGTATACCAATTATCATAGGCAGCTAGAGTCAAGCTTGGCTGATTTGAAAAGGAAAGAGGTAAGCTCTGGCTTGCAAGAACTCTTTAAACTGACTTGATTAATTTATACTGAACAACTTATGGAAATAAACTGAAAACAGCTTATGGAAATAAGCTGAAAATAGCTTATGAATATGTCATAAGCTCTACCAAACAGTCTACAAGTGGTTATGTTAGTAAAAAAGTTCAAATAAGACAATTCAAACAATTTCTTAATGCTTGATATCGGTGAAATTATGACCTATACCTTTATTTTATTTCCATTTTCAATCTATTTATAATTTTGGGTGCAATGATCATAATTAAATCTATGTATTAGTTGTTGACTATATAAATTAATCCTAATGGGTCACATATAAATTCTCTGCCCACCTTTCGAATACTTGGAACTTATGGGTCACAATCATCTTAGACCCACCTATTGCTTAATAAATTGAAGGATGGGCCAATGTGTGCTAGTAAGTCTAGATTGTATGAAATGCTGACCCGTTTTTGGTTTAAAATCCATGCTATAGGACTGCCTTCTTTGTCCCACAGGGTTTGCTGCCAATATGGCCTTGATGACAGCAATAGGAAGTATTGGTTCTCTCTTAGCTGGGAATAGCATACCTTCAGAGGATGATAAGATTGCCATATTTTCTGATGCATTAAACCATGCATCAATAATTGATGGTATTCGTCTTGCTGAGCGGCAAAAAGGTGTAAAAGTGTACATATATAGACATTGTGACATGTCCCACCTCAATATGCTCCTGTACGTTTTACTTCTCCACAGATTGGCATATTATTCTCTTTTCCCCTTCTGGCACAGTCTTTCTACTTATTAATATATCTGATTTCTATGATTTTTAGATCTAGTTGCAGTATGAAGAGGAAAATTGTGGTAACTGACAGGTTAGTCATTCTGCTGCTACTAGCGAAATAGAACTAGAAAATTTGTTTAAGGTTTAAAATAATTTTTGTTATATGCATATAGTTTCTCACTGTAGCTTAAGTAATATTTGGGCTAGACTATATATATCAACCTTTTTTCTTGGATAATCTATGGGGTTGACATAAAAGAATGTAAAAACTAGTTAATCACATGTTATGGGTTTTATGCTGACACTTGTTAAATTTTCCTTGAACTTGTTATTTATGCTTATTGTGGATTACATTAATGATTCACGGAAATGATTATCTTGTAAATATCAATGATTAGGAAGGTAACTTTTATTTTATGTGATTGATTAGGTTTCCAGTAGAATTTGTTTAAACATTTATTTTATGTCAGTCACTGTTTTAACTGCAACAAGGGAGAAGGATGGCATATCGTTATATCTCTACCTAGAAGATATATTACAGTGATGGTGTGCATTATGGTTTGTCTGATTTATTGCAGCTTGTTTAGCATGGATGGAGACTTTGCACCAATGATTGAGCTTGCAAAACTTCGCAAGAAGTATGGCTTTTTACTAGTCATCGATGATGTAAGATCTCTTAATATGTTTTAGAAAACATCTATTACTTCATGATGACTGTTATGTGTTGTTATGTATATGGTTCTGATTATCGGACTAAGGTTAACACCAAAGAAGGGCTTAAGATGATAATCACAGAACACCTATTCCATATGATTAATATTCCTTGAAAGGAATTACTCACTCTTCCATATATATTGTCTTTGTGATTGACTATTTATGCGATTCAAGCAAAATATGTCTGGATTTTTCTTTGTTTGCGATAAGTCTGGATTAACTATACACTAACAAAATAAAAACCCATGTATCCAGGCTCATGGAACATTTGTTTGTGGCAAAAATGGTGGGGGTGTTGCTGAGGAGTATAACTGTGAGAAGGATGTGGACATATGCATTGGTACCCTAAGTAAAGCTGCCGGCTGCCATGGAGGATTTATAGCATGCAGGTAACTGTTTGAGTACACTTGGTTCTAAAATTAACATATAGGAGATTGATTTCAGGCTTGTTGAGGCATTACATTAGCACAAAAAAGCAATTATGATCTTTCTTGAATAGTTTACCAATCAGTTTTTCTATTTTATGAATTCTTATAGCAAAACATGGAAGTTATTAATACAGTCAAGAGGTCGTTCATTTATATTTTCAACTTCTACGCCGGTTCCAGTTGCTGCTGCTGCTCATGGTGAGCTCCAGTGTTGTACATGAATTGATATATAGTTCAATATGAAGATTTCCAACAAAAAAATAATGAAATATTTGTACCAGTGCAGTTCCTATTTCTTAATATTTATTTCATTCCTGCATCATTCATATTTATCGATCTATATCATTGTATTTTGTAGTCTTGTGATACATTTCATGTATATAGTTCTCATTTCAACCATTGTCTTATAATTTAGTGGATAGTGCTATTTCCTGACTGTTGAATCACAATAAATAAATGTTTGCTATACTATGGTTAGAATATTTGTTGAGAGATTAAAAATATACCGTCATTTCATTTTCCTCTTGTGGGAATAACTTATTTGTTAAAATCTTGATGCAATTTTCAAGCTGCTGTTAGAGTTGCAATATCGGAGACATGGCGAAGAAAGGCTATTTGGAACCGGGTGAAAGACTTTCACTTGCTTACTGGAATCCCTGTTACAAGTCACATTATATCCCTAATAGTTGGCAGTGAAGACAAAGCACTGCAAGCAAGCCGGTAAAATTTCCCTACTCTCTCGATTTCTCTCTCATCATATCTTGCTGCCCAAGTATTTACAGGAGTCCTCCGCTTCAGGAGCTGATCATGCAGTCATTGTTTCACTAAGAATTTTCACTGTTTCTGGAACAGGCATTTATTACAAGCTGGCTTCCACGTCACTGCAATCAGACCACCAACAGTGCCTCCTAACTCATGCAGGTTAGTACCTTATAATTCCTGTAGTTGCAATCTAAAAGAAAAGCAGAATTTATAAGTGGTGTTACAATGGGCTCAGTGTTAATACTTTGAAGTAAAACAATAATTGGTTTTACAAAATCTAAGCCTGTAAATATTTTTACCTGGACCTGTCAAAAAATATTCATCAACCAGACACGAAGAACTCGGTCAACCTACTTAGTCGACCAATATTTTAAACACTGGAGTCCATAATTTTAAGTTGAGCTTTCAAATAAAAACACTTATTATGTTGTTAAAGAGCGGTTTGGTTTTTAAAAAGTGTCTGTTCCATAATGGCTCAAATTCCATTTTCAAGTTTGCGTTCGACTAGCAAATTATCGACCCACAATTAGTTTGGCGCAATGCAGCCTAATATAAGCCCAAAAATAAGTCGTCTCATTAAAGCCACCAACCTGCATATTCAACTATAGTTTTTGGGGCTACTTTTGATTCATGTAACTGACCTCACTTAATGAGATAAGCTTGGTTGTTTTGTTTGTATACTTCCGGATAATGGAAGTTGTTTAAAAGTGTACTTTCAGACAGTGGGGGAAGTTTCTCCTTAATCTTGGGTGGGGGAAGTTGAAATTCTTTTATTGTGTTTATATATTTTTCAACGCCTACATCTGATATTTTATTTTCTCACCTCTATTATTTAGGCTGCGAGTGGCCTTAAGTGCTGTCCATACAAGGGAAGATTTGGAAAACTTAGCAGCTGCACTCTCCAGTTGCATCAATTTCCAAGATACCCGCATTTATGACTGCAATGGCTATGCAAGATTATAGCTTTCCATTCTATCATCAGAATGATGAATTGCATGCATTTGTAGAGATTTGTTCTTCCATTGTGTTATTATTCCATAATAATGGCAAGCTATTTTGTCGATATTTAGATCAATAATTTCGAACAACTATTAGTTTACCTTTTTCAACAGTACGTTCAATAGAGTACATTACTACACACTTTATTGTAACCAACATCAAGCACAGTACTACAAAATAACAATTCAAAAGCAGCAGATGCAGGGGGTGGAGGATCAAAAGAAATTCATCTAGAAGTTGATCAATAGTTTTGATCAGGATATAGTTTTGAAGCTTCAAGGTCATCTTCCCCTAGCTCAAAGTTCACAAGATCTCCTTTAACAAATACACTATGAAGGATGAAAGTTTGTATGTTGTGTGGAGGAGGCAAAGCTGCATGTCAATGAGTTTTCTTACCTGTCAATGTTGATCAAAATTTCATATAAAGCAACAAAAAAAAAAGTAGCTTGTTTAATTAAAGTTTTGACCACATTTTTTCTTCCACAGTAATGTAACTCATTTTGTGTTATGATATTCTTGGAAGGCCTATAGACAATAATGCGATTATGTGATCTTGGTTCATTTGCCACTTTAATAGCAACATCCTCTTCATAATTTAGTACAGCTAAGAAAAATAATTGTCCCACAAGGTTATTTACAAATTTAAAATAATATCTCCTTTTCTCCCTCAAACCAGACATATACATATAATAATTTATGTTAATCTATGTTGAGAGTATAGAAAGCATAATATATATTAGAATGGTCGAAAAACTTATAATGCATATGCCCCCAAAATACAACAATCAAGTCTTTGATTAGGCCAAGAAAAAGAGCACAAATAATTTGAAGGTAAATTTTTGTATTTTTTTATGGAAATTAATTTTTGGAATCGTCTCAATTATTTTTAGGAGTGTTTATGATGCGGTTTTAACATTTTTTATTTTAAAAGTCATTTGAATTGTAAAACAAAAAAAAATGTGGTTTGATTTGATTCGGTTGACTTTTAAAAATAAATTAATACAGTTTAGATTAGTTTGGTTTTCTATTAAAAAAATTAATTGATCCAACACATATAGAGAAAAACATAATTTTGTATTTATTCATTCATACATTATCGTAAAATAAATTTATGATTTTCAAAATAAATTTATAACTTTATACATAAATGATCGTACCTGATTAGAAGGGATTCTCGATGACCCACATGTTGGAACTGGATGGCTGAAGTGAAGTGGGGGTACCTGCAAGACACTCTGATGCCAAAGTAAGGTTCATAGTAAATACAAGTAATGAAAGTGTGTAGAATGAATGAATATCTGACCCTCTCATGTGAGAGTATTTATAGCCTCATCGTTGGGTCAAGATTCACACATAGGCCAAACAATTAGGTCCAATAACGAAGACTGTCAGGGTTACATGTGTAGTGGAGTCCAACATGTGACCTCCTTCCTGGTCAACTGCCCCGAGATAATAGAGAAGTTGGACCCTCTATTCTCGACGGACGGGATGGTGGTGGCTTCGGATAACTGTTGGCCACATTCGCCTAAGAGGCACGTGGGGAAATCCCAAACGGTTATTGACTTATGCTGGATGCCATTGGGCCTCAGAGGCGTTGGATTGAGCATGCTCAATGGTGGGCCAAGTTCCAACCTAACCCAGAACAGGAGCCCCCAAGTCATCGCTCTTAGACGAAAGACTTCAGGCTAGCTCGGTCGTCAGGGAAATGTCGCTCGAAAAAGGACTGTTATTCGGTCGGGGAAACCAAGCGCTGCCCAAAAAAGTGATTGTTATTTGGTCTGGGAAACCAAACGTTGCCCAAAAAAGTGACTATTATTTGGTCAGGGGATTTTATGGTCGTCAGATCATCGATTTCCCCGCCAGTTCTTCGTGGTTGCGTCGTCCTACTCGACAAAGGGGGTGTGTAAGTAGCGTGGGTGATTTATCTTGAAGGAATTTCCTCGGCTGATTCGTTAGGTATTTGTCTTGATTCCGATGCTCGTTGGGGAATTTGCATTCCCGGGGAAAATGCAGAGTTCTTCCTCGGGTTTATCTTTTTGAGGTGCTCGGGAAAAAGCGTCGCAACGATGTTGAGCAAGTGTTCATCAACGAGGGCTTTTGAAATAGCATCAGCGCGTGGTTTCACGCATGAGATTTGGATGTCAGTTGCGCATCACTAAGCGTGTCACACGTAGTAGTCATTTAAAGCGTCATCATTATTTGGGGAAGCCTAAAGGTCTAAGCAATGATGATTCCTTGCATGCTACCCCGTATGGTGGTGACTAGCTATAAAAGGAGGTGAAGGAATTCACTTTAAGCATTTCTACTTTTGCTCTCCTCGTGTTTCTACTTCGTCTGCAAGTTGTTCTGCTGCCGCCTCCGTCATCGTGGATTTTTCCAACGTTCATCCTTCTCCAAGTAAGTGATTTCCTTTAAACATGTCAATTTACCTTAGGGCTTTAGACGAACTGATGGATTTTTCGACGAAGTTCATGAATTTCGGATGAAGATCCATGAGTTTTTTGATGAAGTTCATGAACTTCGAATGAAGATTCACGAATTTTGTATGAAGATCCACGAATTTCGGATGAACTTCATACGAGTCTATGTCGGGGATTCGTCCTTGTGCCTTGGAAAAATTTGAACAAGCTGCTCCGTCGGGGAAAGTGTTAATAACTTATGCTTACTCGAGGGGAGTTGCTTTCTCTCGCGCGAGCCATCAAGGGCTTGAGTCGAGGATCCACCCTCAAGGAGCTCCTCACCCTTTCACTTGACTTGCGCTGGAAGGATGAATTTGATGATGTCGAATTCACTGTTTCCCCCTGCTTTTCAGGTAAGATGGCACAACCAGTCGAAGAAGTCGTTTTGCCTGATTTTCATGGCGAGGAAAATGTGGGTACGAGGAACCCCCTAGATTGGGTCACTCCCGAACCCATCGATCTGATGTCTCAGTTCATTCACGACCATTCTGACTCTTCAACATCGTCGAGGAGAGGGAAGATGATGTTCCCGCTGATAAGTGAAAATTGTAGTTATTTTTGTATATATTTTTTGTTGCACTCTTCGAATATTTATTGTTAATATCATTTGAATAACCCAACTTTGTGTTAAAATATGTTTAGTTTATGTATAATGCATTTTTGTGTATATAGTATAGCGTTTGATAGTTTTGTATTCATTTTGTAGGTATTTGAGCATTGTTGGAGTATGAGGAAAAAAAGCTCCAAGATGCATTATTTGATCAATAAAGGAATAGAGCGAAAGAGATGAAGCCATTCCAAGTTGTACAGGGATAGCAACAAAAGTTTCTGGACTAAAGTGTGTCGTCGGGTGATGTCCAAGCGAGCGACATCACTTCTGCGTCGCCGGATGAAGATGGAGTGAGAACAGACAATTTTTTTTCCATTTGGGCCTCCCTTGATTCGCGTCTGTGTCGCTGGGTGAGGAATAAGAGGATCGTCGGGCGACGTGAGTATGTCGCCTAGCGTATCGTACATTAATTGGAAAGGTGTTTCCCCGGTAGTTTTCTGGGCATCGTCATGTAAGCCCATAGCATGGAGTTCTTCGACACATCCCTTCTTTGCTTCGCCTAGTTGGTGCTAAAGTCCTCGCAAGATGAATTTGTTCATGGATTCCACTTGCTCGTTTGTTTGAGAATGCTCGACAGACGTAAATAGTTGCTTGGTGTCGATCTTAGCGACAAAATCTTGGAACTTCCTGTCAGTAAATTGTGTCTCGTTGTCAGTGGCAAGTGCTTGTGATACTCCGAACCTTGCAAGCACGTTTCTTTTGTAGAAACGAAGAATATTGTGCGACGTGATTTTGGCGAGGGCTTCGAACTTTATCCATTTAGTGAAGTAACCAACAACGACGATTAGGAATTTGTTCTAGTATGATCCTTGGGGCAAGGGTTTAAGGATATCCACTCCCCACCAGGCAAAAGGCCACATGGAAGACAATGTTTTGAGCTCGTGTAAAGGTGCAAGGTGCACATTCGCGTGACGTTGGTGTGATACGGTGGCAGAACCAGACTGTTTTGAGAAAATGTTGGTTTGCGTTTTGCGTTTGTGTTCGCAAAATGTCGCGGTAAGCAAGAGTTGCCATCGAATTTTATTTTATCCAACTGGAAAGGACAAAAGCACAGAAAAATTCCTTTTTCGAGATTTTGAGTACGGGGGGTAGATTATAGAAAGGGGAGGTATTAGCATCCTTTCTATCCATGGTTTTCCACGGGCTCTTAGGTACTTGCTCATCTTTTAAAAATTGCTTGTGTGTGTTAGTTTTAAAAAGTTTTGTTTTACTTCGTTTTAACTCTTGCTTCTGTCTTCAAGAGTGTTACGAAGTGTTTTTGAAAACTTTGTTTAAAATAAAAGTGTAAGTGTGAAAGTTTGATTTTGAGCAAGTACCTACTAGCATCTACCTACTCGAAAAAGGATTGTTTATATTCTCGTTTCCTTTAGACAGTGCTATCCTACTATTAAGGAGTAAGTAGCATCGTCGTTGGAGTTTGTAAGGGTCAATTCGAAAGGGGCGTAATGGTCATTGAAGGCAACATGTAGGGATACCTTAGCATTTCGAAGGGACTGTCATCATATATTCGTAGGCAACATCGAGGGACAAGATCATATACCGTAGGCAACTTCGAGGGACCATGATCTTTATGATGATTTTAACCGAGGGCCTTTGCTAAGGGTATCCCTACGTTCGAGGGACATGACCATTATTTTCCGAGGCAACCAAGTGAGGTATACCCTAAGGGTGCATATGTGCAAGATGTGTTATGTTCAGTTATTTTAGTCTTGTGTTAAGTTTGCTAATGTTTGATTATTCTTGCCATACAATCCTATTAGTCATACATCTAGCAGTTAATAATTGCAGTAATTTAAAAGCGTAGAAATATAAAACCTAGCTATTACAAGGCTTCGGGGAGGGGGATTATGTACATATCTAAAACTGGGGGGGGGGGGGGGGGGGGGGGGGGGGAG